ACCCGTGTGGTAAAATGTTTTACCTCATTGACTCAGTTTGTTTTAGTAATGATAGCTACTACTGAGACAATAACCTGTGCTAATAAATCTGTACTTATATGAGAGATTTGCTGAGAAATATATCCGCCTAAATCATCATTACTCTACTGAAACATTTGTCTGCATTAATGATCTTTACTCTACTCGGATATTTACCTGTATTAATGGTCTTTATTTTACTGAAATATTTGTCTGTATTAAAGACTTTTACACTACTGAAACAGATAATTATCTGTATTAATTATCCTAACTTTACTAAGATATTTATTTGTAAACGCTATTTCATTTTGCACGCTATCTTGTGATTTTACTTGTGCTAAGTTAATAACGTGATAATATATATTAAAATGCTACTCACTAATATACATTATATGTATGTATTGTGCTTTCTGGAGGTAAGAACTCAGTGTAGGTCAGACACGCAACATACTAAATATAAAGAGCTTCAGTTTGGAATAAATATATATATTTACCTTTCAATATAAGTATCTATGAATACGGGGCTCATTACCATTTTGAAAAATTTGATTGATGGGGTAATCTATAGTTTTGTTATTTTTTAACATCGGTCATAACAATGGTAGAACATTGATGTTTGGAAAAATTCTTGCATCCTGTATATTCTACGGGTTATTAATGAAAAGGTAGAACTGTGAATAATATTTTCAGAGTATACGATACAAATATCGGCAAATGTTAACAAGTGTCGTGTTTTTCTAAATTAAAAACTATAAAAATAGTACCTGTTAAATCCAGAGCATTAAACTCGTGAAAGTATGATGTACCGTGTGTGCTAAACATTAGGGGTAAATAATTATTTCGAAACAAATAAAAATCCGACTTTTATCTAAAAAAAAAGTAATAATTGTCTAATCACGCAAGAGCGTTTGAGTCACGTATTCACAAATTATTATAATACTTAGAAAGTATGGCGACAAGATCTAAGTTAACCATGATAGTAACAAGCAGACTGTAAGAATGTCACCAAATCAAATTGAATAAATATATCAAAAATTCAGCCGGTCAAGTCCGCGTTGCATTCGAAATATCACATTACATATAACACATTTCCTTTTCTTTGTACCCTAATTGTTGTCTATCTGCAGAAGTACCTAAGAAGTGTAGCAGGAAATAGTTATTAAATATATCTTCATTGTTTATCCATTAACCTGCTAACATGGTCTACCTACTCCAAAGTGGCTATACTGGTGTAACGACAAAAACAATATGGTTTTACTAAAATGGCAGATAACTTTTATCAAAACCATCATTAATCAAGGAAGGATTTTACACAATCTATCTTTATTTTTCTGATAGTAAACAAAGATGATTGTTTGTTTGTAGTTAAGCTACACAATGGGGTATCTGTGCTATGCCCACCACGGGTATCGAAACCAGGTTTCTAGCGTTGTAAGTGTGCAGACATGTCGCTGTGCCACTTGGCAGCAACAAAGATGCAATGGGTTTATTTCATGTTCTATGTATGAACTAAAATGAGTTAAGCTTACATGGATTGTTTGTTTGTTTTGAAACTCGCGCAAAGCTACACGAGGGCTATCTGCGCTTGCCGTCCTTAATTTAGCAGTGTAAGACTAGAGGGAAGGCAGCTAGTCATCACCGCCCACCGCCAACTCTTGGGCTACTCTTTTACCAACGAATAGTGGGATTGACCGTCACATTATAACGCCTCCACGGCTTATGCTATGAAGGGTGAATTGGTTTAAACAAATATTTTATACCAACTTCATTATATATATATCATAAACACAGTAGTTGACAAGGTAAGATTTGCTCAACGTGTGACAGCTGTGTTAACTCTTTAAGTATGTATCAAAACTTTAACAGATAACTATGATCATTTTAATTATAATTACACGATAAAACAGTCATTCTTTACATTTAAGCAAACTTTACATTGCAAGTACAATAGCTAAAAATACAGGCCTGCGATAGTTTTATTTACTTGAAATTTTTACACGTTCTACAGTAATTTCTGTACGCTGAATCCGAAAATGATATCCA